GCCCACTTTTTGCACGCTGGCGGCGGGTCGTTCGCTTGGCGCCCGCGGTCCTCTCCTGCGCGCGCATTGTCACGCCTTTTTATGTGGTGTTTGTGTGTGCGTGTTTGTTTGTTTGTTTACGTACATGCATACATACATTACATACATTACATACATACATACATACATACATACATACATACATACATACATACATAGATGCATGCATACTTGCATATATACATATATACATTCATACATACATATATACAGACATATATATAGACATTATATATAGACATACATATACACATGGCATACATACATACATACATGCATACATACATGTATACACATGTGTAAGTAGAGACGGTCATATACATACACAGAAAATTCGGAGAGATACGATGGGCGTTGCTTCCTGGAAGGACCAGCAGCCATGTTCTTCTTTCTCCTTCTCCTCCTCCTCCTCTTCTTCCTTCTCCTCCTCCTATTTTTCTTACCCTTTTCCTCTACTACTCCTCTTCTTTTTCTTCCTCCTCCTCTTCCTCTTCTTCTTTCCTCCTCTTCTCCTCCTCTTCTCCTCTTCTTTTTCTTCCTCCTCCTTCTTATTTTTCTTCCTCCTCTTCCTCCTCCTTACTTTTCTTCCTCCTCCTCTTATTTTTCTTCCTCCCCTCTTCCTCCGTCCGTCCGTCTCCGCAGATCCTTCTCCTCGGCCGGGATTTGTAGACACGAGGCGGCGATTTAGAGAAGGAGAGAGAAAAAGAGAAAAAAAGGGAGGAGGGTTTAGAAAGAAAGGAAGATAGGGGGGGGGAGGGTTACAGGGTGTTTTTTTTCGTTATTTTGATTGTTGTTATTATTGTTTATTAGTGCAAGGTTGATAGGAATAAGGAGTAATGTCGACTATTTGCTGGGTAGGAGGCGCGGGTAGGGTGTTATTATTATTATTATTATTATTATTATTATTATTTTTTATTATTATTATTATTGCAAAGTTCGAACAAGAATGGTGATGATAGCAACTGGGTAGAAAACGGAGAGAGAGAGGAGAGAGAGAGAAGAGAGAGAGGAGAGAGAGAGAGAGAGAGAGAGAGAGAGAGAGAGAGAGAGAGAGAGACGAGAGAGAGAGAGAGAGACAGAGAGACAGAGAGACAGAGAGTGTGTGTGTTGAGGGTGAAAAATTAAGGGGAAAAAGAGAAACAGACAGAAAGAGAAAGAAAAAAAAATGGAGGGCAAGCGAGTGTTGACAAAGGACCTCGCTTCAAATCCCCGTCAGAGAGCTTGCGGAGGAGACAAGGCGGAGAGGGGGAGGAGAGAGGGAAGAGGGGGCTGGAGAGGGGGGCGGCGGAGAACAAGGGAAGAGGGTTTGGGGGGAGAGGGAGGGGTACTACCGTAAGCCAGTCATGTCTCGCACACGTTCGGCGGGATTACGGGTCGTCTTAGTCGTCCTTGCCCGTGTCGAGGGGGAGACGGATGGAGGGGCAGGTGAGGATGAGGGGAATGTGGTGGGGTGGGGGGGGGGGTGGAGGGGGTGAGGGGGGGATGCTGGTGGGGGTGGGGGACGGGGAGGAGGAGGAAGAGAGGGGGGAAAGAGGTCGTGAATGGAGGGGACGAGGACGTGGGGTGGGTGGGGTGGGAAGGGGGAGGAGGGAAGGAGGGAGGGAGGGAGGGGGGAAAGAGGTCTTGAATGGAAGGTTGTGCGTCAGGGGGGGAGGTGGGGAGAGGAAAGGGGGAGGGAATCATGTCGTTTTAAGAGTAGTGAGGATTATGTTTTTTCTTTTTTTTTTTGTTCTTTTTTCCTTGTTTATCTTCTCTTCCTTCTTATTGTTCTTCATTTTCTTTTTATTGTCATTATTATCTTTTTCTTTTTCTTTCTCTTTTATCTCCTCCCCTTCTTCCGTCTTTCTTCATTTTCTTCTTTTTACTGTCATCATTATTGTTGTTGTTGTTGTTGTTTATGCGTATGTGGGAAGGGAAGGGAAATGGAAATTTAAATTAAGTGACATGTTATGATTCGTTTTTGTTTTGTTTCTTTCTTTCTTTCTTTTTTTTGTCTTTCGAGGATGGGGAAGGGTTAGGAAAAATGAGAATGCTGAAAATTTGATTATACGTTTATGTAGGATTTGACCGTCTCATAAGTTTTATTATTGTTTATCTAAGTTTAAATCTATTTCGAGGTCTGGATGCGCTGAATTTTTTTTGTTTTTTTTTATTATTATTTATTATTATTATTATTGTTCCATTATATTATTTTTATTATTATTATTATTATTATTATTTTATTATTATTATTATTCATTTGTCTTCCGGAAATGGTGGAGAACAAAGTCATGTTAGTTGTCGTTTGTGTTGCTGGCCCCCTCTCCCCTTCTCCCTCTTCTCCTCTTCCTCTCCCCTACTTCATTCATTATCTTCTCTTCCTTCCCTCCTCTTTTCCTGCAGTCTTTCCTCCTCTCCCTCCCTTTCTCTTCCCCCTTCCTTCTTTCTTTCCTTTCTTTCGTTCGTTCGTTCGTTCGTCGTTCGTTCGTCTTCCTTCTTCCTTCTTCCTCTCACCTTCTTTCTCTTTCTTTCCCTCCCCTCTCCCTCTCTTCTCATTTTCCCTATCTACCTCCCTTCTCCCTTCTTTCCCTTCCCTTCGCTCTCTCCCTCCTCTTCACCTCCTTCTTCGCACTCTCTCCCCCCTCCCTTCCCTTTCTTCTTCTCTCTCTCCTTCCCATTTCCCCCTTTTCTCCTCTCCCCTCTTCTTCTCTCTCCCTCTCCTTTCCCCTTCTTCTCCTATCTATCTTTCGCATTCCTCTCCTTCCCTCCTTTCCCTCTCCCCTCTTCTCCTTCCCAATTTCTCCCTTCTCCCTCCCTCCTTTCCCCTCCCTCTCCTCCCTCTCCCTCCCTCCTTTCCCCTCTCTCCCTTCTCCCTCCCTCCTTTCCCCTCTCCCTCTTCTCCCTTCTCCTTCTCTCACTTCCTCTTTCCCTTCCTCTTCTGTCCCTCTCCCTTCCCCATCCTCCTTCTCCCTCTCCCCATCCCCCTCCCCCGACACGCCACCCACCCTGTCGCGTGTCCGGCGCAAAAATAGACAGCACGTGCTCCTCGCCGCCGCTGTTTGCCCGGACCGCTGTTCCTACGACCCGTCCGCCACCCACCGCGTCCACCGCCGGTCCGGCATCGGCACCATCGCGAATACGTCGCGGTGTATCAATCAACACCATCACGCTATCATCAATCAACACCATCAGTAATCATCAACATCGTTGTTAATACCAACACCATCATCATCATCATCATCAGAATCAGATCAACAACACTACACCATCACACCATCACATCCATCAAAAATCGTCATTACACACCACACCATACACCACCACACCATCATCACACCATCACACTGTAATCAACATCATCAATCAACACCATCAACAATCATCGGCATCGTCAGCACACCATCAACATCATCATCAACACCATCATCAACATCGTCATCAACACTACTGCCACTGCGACCGAACACCACCACGCCAACGCCAACACCTCCACCACCAACATCAACGCCACCAACACCGACTGATCGAACAGCATCATTATCAACACCATCACGGGCACTGTAACTCATCACCACAACTCATCACCACGTCCTTCACCATATATATGTAGTTCTTTCATGTGTTTCGACTCCTGACAACCGAATTTTGGAATGTTGATCCAAGTTGTAGAAATGATGTTGAAATAGATGGATAAGTGGGATAGCGAGGGTCGTAGTAGGAATGGTGATGGCAATGGTGATGATGTTAATGGTGATGAAAATCCAAGTTATTGTTGTTGTCTTTTTTCATTTTATTTATTTATATTATTTTATTTATTTATTTATTCTTATTTTTCTTTTGTCGTGGTCATTGTAATGCTGTTTTTTTTCTGTTTTTTTTATTGTGGTTTTATGGTCATGGTGATAATCATCATCGTCATCATCTTCAGGTTGTTGTCATTATGATTATAATTGTTGTTGTTGGTCTTGTCTTCATCATTATTGGTCCTATTATCAATTTATTGTTATTATTATCATTAACGTCGATTTATCTTTACTGTTGTTTATATTGTGTTATTATTATTGTTTTTGTTGTAGTTTTTGATGTTGTTTCCTGATCATGTTGTTATCTCCATTATCAACATGTGTGTTGTTGTTATCGTCGTCGTTGTTGTTATGAATTTGTTTTTTATTGTTATTATTATTTTGTTGTTATTATTTTATTGATGTTATTTTTGTTTTACTTTTTTGTTTTCTTACTCTTGTTGGTAGTATATTTGCGTATTTATCAACACTGTGATAAGTTTTGAATCTTGTCTGCACCGTCATTTCGTCTCAATCGCAACCAAAACATTATCCACCAAAGGAGAGATTATGTCTTTCTTGCCAATATGAACGCTGAGGTTTGTCTCCGATAGAGCTGATTTCGGTTCATTATTGGGGTAAAGAGTGAAAAAATGAAATTAGCGTCGGTTAATTAAATATTCAGGGATATATAGAGCGGATTTCGGTTTATCATTAGGGTAAAGATGAAAAAAAAGGACCGAATAAGCGTCGGTTAATTAAATATTCAGGGGATATTTTGGTCGCCAGGAAAATTGGAAAAATGGGAAGGGGGGGGGAATGTTTTAGTTGGCTTAATTCAGAGACAGCGAGGATTCAGGTCGCCAACAGGTCAAAGTCAGATGGGAAGGAGATGTTCCTGAACGGGTAAAAAAAAAAAAAAAAACTCGTTGACTGGATTCAGAAACGTTGATATTCCTGATCACACACACGCAAAAAAAAAAAAAAAAAAAAAAAAAAAAAAAAAAAAAAACGTTAATGGAAAAGAAGATTATGAAAAAATTTCGTCGGGCGAATTCAGAAACAGCGAAGGTCCAGAAAAAAGAAGAAAAAGCGTTAAATGGAAAAGAAGACTAAAAAACGTCGTCGGGCGAATTCAGAAACAGCGCAGGTCCCGGCCACAGCTGCTCGAGTCTCAGGTCCTGGGGCAGGGAGCGCGGGATGCTCCGGGTCGCCGAGGAGGACACAGCTGGTCCAGGCGCGCAGGTCACCGCCTCGGCCGCGTAGGATGGGATTTTCGGCCCTTGGTGGAAGGAGCGAAGGGCCGAGATTGGAGTGTTTGTTCCGTGTGGTCTTTTTCTTCTTTTTTTCTGTTTCTTTTATTTCCTCTTCTGCCCTCTGTTCTGGCATTTTCTTCCAGGCGCTGTTGCTTTAAACGTGTGTTGCCTTCCAGCTTGTAGAAGTGATAGACAGGAGAACTTTTAGACCCGCGTGTGGCAAAGGCCGCGGGAAGTGCGCCAGCGCCTAGCGGTGAGGGCGCCCAGAGCCTTTCGAGCGCCGCCTGCGCTGGACGCCGCCATGCGCGCGTCGGAGGACAACGCGGACGATGAGTTCGTGTTCGTGGCCAACAAGGTGGTGACGGGGCCGGAGTGCCCCTCGGGGGACGCGCCCGCCGCCGGCGCCCGCGGCCCTCGCACCCTGCCGCGCCTCAACCACCTGCAGCCCATCCCCACCACGCTGGACCTGCAGCCCACGCCCAAGCCCTGGCGCGCCGTGCACCCGCCCACCACCACCACCGCCCGCGCCAAGGCCACGCCCCTCCCGCCCGAGCTGATCGAGCTGCTGCCGCCGCACCTGCGGGAGAACACGGTGCCGGACTTCGGCGGCTCCAGCCCGCCGCCCGCCGACGAGGCCGCGCCGCAGCGCCCCGCCCTGCCCGCCAAGTACTGCTCGGGCGACTACTACAACCTGGACGACGCCCCCGCGCGCCGCCCGCCGCAGCTCGCCAATTACGGCCAGCTGTCGGGTCTCATTCCCTCAAGTGCGCTTAACGGCGTCGCCGCACCCACCCACGCCCACGGCGGCAGGGCGGCCTCGCTCACCAGCACTCGGCCGCAGGCCCACGCGGGCGGCGCCCAGACCGCGTCGCACACCGCCCCCGCCGCCCTCGCGCTCACCGACTCCGGCATCAGCAGCGGAGGCAGCAGCAACAGCAGCAGCTGCAGCAGCGTCAGCAGTCGGAGCAGCAGCAGCAAGAGCCTCCCGAGGGAGGGCTCGCGCACGTCGCTCTCGGGGCGCCCGCTGCACCCGCCCTCGCCCAAGTTCGCCCGCGCGGCGCCCTCCCCGGCCCGCCCGCGCCCGCCGCCGCGCCCGCCGAGCCGCTCCTGACGCGGGTCTCGTACACGGCGGTGCTCACGAGCGACGGCGAGCGCGCCTCCATGGTGCGCCGCCTGGAAGCTCTCACGCCCTCGCCCTCGCCGCTGCTCAACACGTTCCGGGCCGCCCACGCCCACCCTGAGCACCTCCCGCCCGAGGCGCGCCCGCACACGCGCCACGTGGCCACCGCCCACTCCACGCTCAACTCGATGGGGCAGACCAAGTCCACGTCCTCCACGTCGGTGACGACCCACGCGCCCACGCCCTCCGCCACCCCTACCCACACGCCCTCACACACGCCCACCCACACGCCCACGCAGCGCCGCAAGGTGAGGGGCGGCGGGGAGAACCCGCAGAGCGTGGGCGGCCAGGGGCGGGCCAGCCCCTCCGCGCCCTCCTCGGCCGCCATGATCGCCCGGCAGGTCGCCTCGCCCAGACCCTACACGCCGACCGCCGCGACGCCCACGCCCCCCTCCCCCCGCCCGCAGTGCCGCCAGGTCAGCGGGCGGCCCCCCGAGATGGGCCCCGCCTCTCCGCCCTCGAGCCCGGAGCTGCGTCGGGCGTGGAACGTGGTGGGCGTGCCGGTGGTGTCCCCGTCGGGCTCCTGCACGCCGTCGGGGCGCAGCCCGGCCCCGAGCCCCGTGCCGCGCCCGCTGCCCGCCGCCGCCGAGCCCGACTCCATCTACGACAACCTGGTGGTGCGGCAGCCGCCGCTGAGCACGCCCACCTCGCGCTCCCCGCCCACGGCGAGCATCCCGCCCACCGCACAGCGGACGGGGGCGGCCGCGGCGCACCGCCAGGGGCCGCCCGCGACGCCGCCGCCGCGCAAGGTCACGCAGTCGCCGATCGTCGGGAAGCCGCCCTCGCCGCCCATGCAGCGCCGGGGGGCGTCCCGGTCTCCCACGCCGCCGCCCGCGTGGGCGCAGCAGGGCATTCCCCCGAGGGCGCAGTACGTGCCCTACTACCCGCCCCCGGACGCCCACTGCGGCGGGTGCTGGGTGCCGGTCTGGGGGTCGTCCCCGCAGCTGTACCAGCCCCCGGGCTCGACGCCCGTGTACCCCGCCTACGTGTACCACGCGCCGCCCGCGGGCGTCATTTGCGAGGCTCGAAGCCGCAGTTGCGAGCGCCTCCCCGCCCGCCCGTCTCCGCCGTCGTCCCCGCGCAGTGGGCGGCGGTCGGCGTCCCCGTGGCGTGGGGGCTCGCCCTCGCCGGCCGGCGCCCGCCACTCTCCGTCTCCCGACCCTGTCAGTGGGCGGCCGCCGAGGCCAAGGCGCCCGCCCATGAGGAAGTCCAAGACCGTGGAGGTGGGCTGCCTGGGCGTGGGCCTCCAGCAGTCGTCGTCCGCCCCCGTGGGAGGGGCGAGCGAGCCCACGCCCCTGCCGGCGCACTCGATCACATACCTGCAAGGGCCGCCCGCGCCCGGCGTGCCCTCGAACCACGTGTACATCCACGCCCTCAACCACCAGGGTGCCCCTCCGTACCGCAGCTGCAGCCAGGGGCGGCAGCAGCACATCCCCAGCTTCGACACCATCCACGAGCAGCTGGGCAAGGTGGCGAACGGGTTCCATGAGCCCAGAGCGAGTGACGCGAGCGCCCCTGCGGCCGGGGGCTCCGGCCCGGGCGCCCCGCGCGCGCCCTCCCCCGCGGGCTCGTCCTGTAATTCCTCGAGCGTGTCCGTAGGCTCGCCGGGAGTGGCCAGGCTGGAACAGTCACAGATCTCAAAGCCAAAGGTAACGTACAAGTCCTCACTCTACAAGTGCATGAAAAATCTCTTGAAGCCGATACAGTAGTCGCCCCTGTATCTTGCATGAATCAACGTTTTCTGTAAGACGTGCCAGCACATTAGAAAACGCGCAGTTAGGGGAAACAAAGATAAAAGGAAATTGAACGACAAACCCGGATGAAGTATGATACAAATTACTCTCACGGACTTACTTCCGATCTGTGCGAACGATCATTGGCGTATGACAGTATTTTCAAACTAGCATCGAATTATAATCAATGTGGGAGTCGGTCCTCCCAAAATCACGTGACCTAAACAATCCGATTATGCTGAAGACCTATAATGTGTCCAGAAGCAGAAAAAAAAACGTTTGTGACACAAGAAGAAAAGAAAGAATAGATACGAAGAAGAAAAAAAAGAAGGTAAGGCATTGGTTTGTTAATTTGCGTGTTCCGAAAGTAAATAACAATAGCATGCCTTCGTTCACAAAGGAAGGTAGATGTTTTCAAATGGATTTCATGACCCTGTTTCTCCCGCTCTTTGCTTTTCACCCCCTTAATCACGCCCCTCCTGCTTTGGCTCTGATTTTCCAGTCTTCGTACTGCTTCTGACCCCCCCCCCCCGGCCCGTCACCCTCTTAGGACCGGCTAATTAGTCGGGGCCGCATGGGGGAAGGGTGGGGGTGGAGGTAGGGGAAGTCTGGACACATTTTCTGTCTATCAACTTGTGTCATATGATTAGAGAGATTTTTTAATTGTATTATTATTTTTTTATTATTATTATTATTTTTTTTTTTTTTAGGGGGGGGGGTATCAGTTTGTAGATGAAAAAGTTTTTTTAAGCTTTTTTTTTATAGAGAGAGTAGCTGCTGTGTTAAGCAAATGCATATATAACGATTTTGTAAATATTATTGAAGCCTGTGTAGGTTGCAGTGTATTTTGCTTGATTTTTTCGAATTTTACATTACCAGAAAAAAAATAAAAAGTTATGATCGAACTATATATTAATCAGTAGATACATTAGTAACCATCTGATAAATGAAACCTTTAGAATGGCTAGATAACACCGTGTCCCTGTTCTTCTAACCGTATCAAGAACACCTAGTGTACACACTTATACCAAACTTACCTGGCCTGTGTTTGCAACTCTAATCGGGAGGAGGACTTGACCAGGTCATCTTTAAGGTCATCGAGGTCATCCGGAGAGAGGTTTCTTAATCCTTCTTTTGAGAGTGATTTGAATTAGGTCGAAACTAAATCATATGAATTTTTTTTTTTTTTATTTTTTTTATTTTTTTTTGGGGGGGGGCTATTTCTTGTCATCAGATCTGTATGATGAAACATAATCTTAATCTAGATTATGAGCAATTTTTTTTTCTCTGATGCACATCTCATATGTATATGTGTGTGTGTGTATATGTATGATATATATTTATATATATACACATACATGAAAGATGGAATAATGCACTGGCCGCATTGATAGCATGAATTCATAACCTCTCTGATAGGGATTCGAACCCCCTCCCTCACCGGGTGGGGGAGGGGGTTCGAATCCCTATCAGAGAGGTTATAATTCATATATACATACATATACATACTCGTACATATATTTATATATATGTATATATATTATATATATATGTTGTGTGTGTATGTATTATTATATATATATATATATATATATATATATATATATATATATATTATATATATATATAAACAGATACAAAGTTTTAAAAAAATGTATCCGTGTTGATATAGTAAAACGTGGCGTGCAAACACCGTAGACTTGTGACCGCCGCCACCTCACGCCAACCTGACAGCAATTCGCAAGGATGACGTGGCTCGTGGCGCGGCGGGCACTCACCCAGTTGCCACGGTGCCATAAGTCATGCCCCTCTCTCGCAGGCAGTCGCTTCGAGCTCTCTCGCTCTCTCTGTCTCTCTTTGTTCTCTTTCTTTCTGTTTCTTTATCTTTCTCTTTGTTTTCTCTTTCTCTTTTCTGTCTCTCTCTCTTTCTCTGTCCTCTCTCTCTCTCTCTCTCTCTCTCTCTCTATCTCTCTCTCTCTCTCTCTTTCTCCCTCTCTCTCTCTCTCTCTCTCTCTCTCTCTCTCTCTCTCT